AAATGACCATCCTTGCTGCTTACTTCGAAATGCTCGGCACCTTACTCTAAAAATCCAACAGCGAATCAGTCCCTACATAATGGTTATGTTGTTCTACTCTTCAGAGTGGAGCTGTTCGACCGTTGGCTTTTCAGGTTACAATCACCGTGAGGAATCTATAATGTAAGGGTTACAGGAAAATTTCCTATGATACGCGTTGTAAAATAACAACAAAAATATGTAAGATTACACGTACTATGTATCGAAGTGGAATTTAGTAGATAGACGGGGTCTGTTGTAATTTTTAAATATGTTGTATATTTGCGAAGATATTTTTCACAGTGAATAAGAGCGTGGGTGGGTCGCCTGGTGGAATATTACAATGTAAAAATAATTTAACATTATCAAACTCTGTGTAAATAAGTACGTCTGCGGCCCGCCCCTCCTCCTCTCGAGTCCATCACGTCCATCGTTTGTCTGGCGACACCGCCCGCGCTCACCTCTCACCTCCACCACACCCACTTACACTTCTTTTCCTCCCACCAAGTTATTTAATTTTCCGAGTTTCCTAAAGTCTGCGGGCTCCAAGTTTTTTGCCTCCGTTTTTCTGCTCTCTCTCTCTCTCTCTCTCTCTCTCTCTCTCTCTCTCTCTCTCTCTCGTGCCCCTTCTCTCCCTGAGCCCCAATCTCCTCTCCTCTTTTGCGTCGTCTTTAATAAATAAAGGAGTCTGATACTCACATTATTTTAACTGAGACCCTTCTCACACCCAGTCTAAAATAACGGAACGTGTGAAACAAGAAGTGGCGGTGGTAATTATTCTCCCTAAAATTACAAATACAAAACGCATACTGAGCTATTTTAATGCATATTTAAAAGACAGTCGAATAATGTACCTAACAATTGATCGTACGCAGACTTCCGAATAACGGTGATTTTGCAACACTCCGTATACAACGTGACCCAACCTCTAAACATCGCCGACATGCTGCGGAATTTCCCGGTAAAATTACTTGCCGCTCGATAATAAAATAGGCGCCAGCCTGGTAACCTACATCCTGGCGCGTGGCGGCGCCTCGGACGGTACCTCGCCGCCCCGCCCCGCC